AGACGAAAAGCGTATTTCACTGGACAACGTTTTCTTTTTATCTAGCTTGTATCAATTTTGAGCACTTAGTTGTAAAGAAATCATTTACAGAACCGGTTTAGAAATTAGAATCTTTAGTGTTTTCTTGTCATTAAGATTTTTACATATTTAAATGAACATTTTATATAAATATAATTTTACAGATAATGGTTTATTCTGTTGATTAAAACTAATGTAGAATATGAAATAAGAATGTCCAATTTGACAAAAATATCACGGCCCTCTTTACAATTTATTAACTATTTCTCATTTATTATTAAAATAAACAAATCATAAATAATACATTGCAATTACTGTCAAAAGAGATTGTAACAAACTTTAAAATATTAAAAATCCAGTGATTTTTGTAAATTTTTTTAGTGACATTACCATTAAACATTATTCAGAATAATAGATAAGTGTCCAATTACAACTCTTACCAAAGTTGTTTATACCTCATATCAAAATTGTTTACATTACCTTTTCAAAATTGTATTACATATTGCAATTATGTATTTTATGTAGAAATGTTTCTGAAATAGTAGTCTAAAATTATTTATATCCATCTGTTATAAAAATTGTTTAGGACCGATTCCACCGTTGTGTTAAACGGAGATTAAAATGACACTGTTAATGTAAAAATGTCATTTTAAACTTCGTTTAACACAACGGTGGAATCGGTCCTTAGATCTCTTAATATTATTTAACTGCATGAAAACTCAACTTTCCAAATACATAATGACATGTCTTGAAGTAAAACTTTAATTATTTTCTTTTTCTAAAGATTAAAATGCTGAAATTTTATTTTAAAACACATTTGGGCTAGAACGGCTCTATTTAGTGAGTAGGAAAGGCACATTGCAACCCGCTTTTCATAATTTTTTTATAGATGGGTAAGCAATCTATAATATGTATCATTGAACATCTCATAAACGTCAGTGGATGAATGACATTTCGATTAACATAAAGCTAAAAAGATTTATAATTATTATTATCAATCTTTTTTATTAATTTACATTTTTTAAATGTTATTGTAATACTTTTAAATTCAGTGTTACTAAATACCGATATTTTAACATTGGATACACTTGTTTAAGGTACAACTTTACAATTTATTGTCACTTAGCCATTTAAATCTTTTTTCTTAAAATGTATATGCATGTCCAGATTTTAATAATGTTTCACATTTTACGTCATTTTGACCATGTACACGATTGTTTGGTACGGGCCGGTATCTATTTTTAACTATATTTAATATTTAAAAAAATACCCTTTATTATTTACTTGCAATGTTTACCCCATTTAATTCTAAAATTAAACACTAGAGAGGGCTAAGTTCGGCAGTAGTGCTGCCTCTATATTTCACGCACGGTCCCTATGCTGTCGATAAAATAAAATGACTCCCTTCATGCTAGCCGCCATGATAACTGTATTTTGTTTTGGCTACGCTGATTTGCAGTTTTTGTGTTTTGTAATAGGTGAACACTGACAATATATAAAGGGCTTATAGCAAAAACAGCACTTGTCAAAAAATCAATATTTTCAGGATAGTTAAAAAACCTAATATCTTAAACACGAAAAGCAGTACCAGCGTAAAATATTATTAGATCGGTAAATTAAACTATAGGCTTTATTGGCAACAGTTTAGTTTTATAAAAAAACAAAATATTTAGTGAGTACTTTGATTTTTCTCTTTGACAAATGTTGTTTTTTGATAGAAACTGGCCAGAGATTAATACTTTAAAAACCTTTATGTTAACTTCAAAATAACAAATTATTTCGAAACCTTAAATATTACTAAAAAAAAATATTGTTTTTGTTATTCAGAATCACCGTAAGCACTACTATTATCCTCTTCGTCTATATCGGGATTTTCTTGGTCTTCGCCAACACCGTTACCAGGAACTAGAGAGTCGTAAAATGCGCAATGTTTTTTTTTAAGAACACTGCTTAATAGTCCAGGATCCGTAAGTAGGGTCGACCTTCACCCATCTGTTTAATGGATAAAAGTTTTTTTTTTATTAGATAAAATATGTTTTTAAATATACCCTAAGAAAATACGGTCACGGCCATTTTTTGCTTTTCTCTCTGTATACAGATAAGAAAAGTATAAAAATCATGATAAAAGTTACTTATACTTATGATGTCATTCTCTATTATTTTGTCCCTATACATGATTTCGAATTTTAAAGACAACCCAAAAACGGATAAGGAGAAAAGCACCAAATTTTAAACTTAAGCTTTAATTTATCCTGCGGTGAGCTGATTAAAGTTTGGGCATAGTCAAATCATCTGAGGAAGACTTTACAGGATGTTGTTTTTTTATTTTAAGAAAATAAATAGTCTGGACCGTATTTTCTTAGGCAACCCTTTTGCAGTATATTTTTAAACATATTTTATTTATTAAGAAGAAACTTTCATCCATTAAACGGATGGGTGAAGGTCGACCTTACTTCGGATCTTAGACTATAATGTTTGCAGGTCTGCTAACTTCACTGGATTTAGTGGGATTGGACCCTGGTAGAATGGGCTTGGGTGCTGTTTTAGCGGAACATGTGTAACGTGATCTTGTTATTTTATCTATTTTTTATAGTGTTTTAAGCTCTTATGATTTTGAGGAGTGGGTCAGGTTATTAAATAACTCGTATTACTTTGAAAAAGAATGTTGAGCGCCACTATATTTAAAACTTACTAAACTTGACTATCGATTAATGATAAAAATATAGGAAATTACTAACCATTAAGATATTATAATTAAATAAGGTTTCAGATAAGGTAGCGGCAAATTCTAATTCACAGAGACTTACTTATTCAAATTTAAATTATTTATTATTAAAAGACTTATCTGTGAACAAGAGGTAGTATTTAAGGAGAGACTTGTAGAGGCCTTCTTCAAGGGGATTCGTATGATACACTTTGGATATCACCAACTCTTAAGTATAAATCTTCATAGGTAAACTTCTTTAGATGACTCGAACTAAACCTCTTGATATACTTGAAATAAACTTCTGTAGCTGGAACTAAACTTCTAAGTTTCTATACTTCTAAACATGCAGCTTGAACTTTCTTCTAAACTTCTAAACATCTAAACAATCTTTTTAGATATAACTCCTACACATGCTATATTTCGATAGGCTTTTTACGGGTGATATGAGTTGTTTTTGCCGGAAATAAAATTACCTACCGATAACTATGGATTATCTGAAGGCAGTGTTGCATATACACAAAAAATTAAATTTTCTGACATGTGCTGTTTTTGCTATAAACCCTTCATATACGTACTTTGTGAGTGAGATGAATAATTTATAGGTTAAAATTAGGAAAAAAACTTTGACAAACCTTTTTGGCTTTTCAAATTTTGTCCAATCAGGACTGGTTTTTTAACTTGTTGAAATATTATTTGCACACACTCCAGTTATAAATAAATGAATTAACTAGTAAGTTGTACCTGTGGCTATTAATAATTTTTGAATTTTCAACTATATAACACCCTGTATGTTGGATACGAGTAACATTTTACTCAAGCATGTCTCGTTTAGTCGTCTTATTTTTTAATCAGAGAATCTTCAGTTGTTCTATGTCCAATTCTTAATGGGTATGGTATATTATTATTATTTGATTCTGAAAACCTTCTTGGGGAAACAGGTATATTTGGTTGGAAAAATATTAAGACGGTATTTCTCCGGAATTAACTATCATGCGTAACAATAGTTATTTACGAACCAAGTGCGGGAAAACATTCACAAATAAGCGCAATCAAGATGTGCAAATGCGTGGAAAATTCTTCACGTACGAAGTTTCTAAAATATTTTTTGAAACGAACAAAACTGTTAACATATATAAATAAAAATTTTATATGTTGAAATTTTATTTGAAAATATAAAACAAAGCAAGCCACGGCTGCATGGCATCACTTTGACAGTCGATTTACTTCATTAGACGCTTTATAAACTAAATTTTAATATCAGGGACAGATTAATTTTAGAATGCCCCAAAGGGCCATTGTTTTTTTGCATTTTTCCAGGTCGACTCGACCGAAGCAGTGTTTCGCGGTCGACCATGCGCAAAACGTGACATTTTAGTTGTAATTTTATACAATTATCAATGGTCTCTCTAAAGCTATCGCCCATTAATTCCGAAAATGTTTTGGTATGGTATACAATAAACCATAAACAAATTATTTATTTAAAGACTCAAGACAAAATTTTTGAAAAGTTACTCCTTCCTTATATCTTCTATATTGCGCCGATCCTGTCTGTTCAGTAGTTCCATCTTAAAACTCACTTAACATGGAGCTCAGCATGAAGGGGACCAAAATTTGTTTTCGAAGCTGTATCTAGGGTTTCCTAGATCTATGGTTGACCGTAATTTTCAATTCTGATCAACTTTTCTTAATAACAATTTTCGATATTGTTTAAAATATAGGTATCTACTTTGCTCTTAGATAAAAATTAATATTTTTCGACAAATCTTGTGAAAAATGTAGACAATATCTGATGGTTGCATTTTAGGTTTCATGTTGGATATCAAGTATTTTGTACTAGATGTGGCAACAGGCTTGCATTTTGTACGTTGTTTATTATGGCCATTATGACTTACGGCCATCAAATCCTTCAGTTTATCCCTTTCCATGCCTTACACCACATGTCTCTTCACTCTTAATCTGTAACTAGACATCTAGACTCTATCGATGATGGCGTCACGAATATGATGTTTTATTAATGAATAGCTGTATCTCCTGTTATCTCGGAGGCAGACACACTATATACACATATATATTTTATTTTTTATTGCTGATTAATCAGACTAATATGTAAAACCTAGTTTTCAAATATACATATTTTTTTATTATGGGACTTTCCCGTAAAATAAATATGTAATTGTGGGCTGTTGGTTTTTAATATAAATAAATAATCCTTTATACTCGTATTAAGGCGATTCTAGAAATATGTTTCTCAATGAAATTTTTCATTTTATTTCAGTTTTGGGAAGTGATCTCCGACGAGCACGGTATTCAACCTGACGGCAAATATGCAGGCGACTCTCCTCTTCAGTTGGAGAGAATCAATGTATACTACACCGAAGCCTCCGGTGGAAATTATGTACCTAGAGCGGTATTGGTTGATTTGGAACCAGGAACCATGGATTCGGCCAGATCAGGTCCCTACGGTGAACTATTCCGACCAGACAACTTCGTATTCGGACAATCTGGAGCTGGTAATAACTGGGCGAAAGGTCATTATACAGAAGGTGCCGAACTCGTTGATTCTGTTATGGATGTTATTAGAAAAGAATCTGAAGGTACCTAAATATCTATTATTTATCTTTTTCCATCTGATAACGTACCCAAAACACTTATTTATACATATGAGTATGATTTTAACATTCATAATTTCATTTTATTTCTGTTACACAGGATGCGACTGCTTACAAGGATTCCAGCTGACACATTCTCTTGGTGGTGGTACGGGTTCTGGAATGGGGACACTCCTGATAGCGAAAATACGTGAAGAATTTCCCGACAGGATTATGAGCACTTTCTCTGTAGTGCCATCGCCTAAGGTGTCAGATACCGTAGTGGAACCATACAATGCTACTCTCTCCGTCCACCAGCTTATCGAAAATACAGATGAAACTTTTTGCATAGATAACGAAGCACTGTACGACATTGGTATTAGAACTTTGAAAATTCCTGCCCCATCTTATGGAGATCTTAATTATTTGGTTTCACTTACAATGTCAGGTAAATCTCATTCTTTTTCTCTCCGCGATCAGATTTTTAAAAATAAAATCTTTTTTTAAATAATTTTATATTTTCAACAGGTGTAACCACATGCTTGAGATTCCCAGGTCAACTTAACGCTGATCTACGTAAGTTGGCTGTGAACATGGTACCTTTCCCTAGACTGCATTTCTTTGTACCTGGATTTGCACCTCTCACTCCAAAAGCTAGCCAACAATATAGAGCTGTATCAGTTTCTGAAATCACCCAACAAATGTTCGACGCCAAAAACATGATGGCCGCTTGTGACCCAAGAAATGGCAGGTATCTTACAGTAGCGACGATCCTGAGAGGTAGAATGTCGATGAAAGAGGTAGACGAACAAATGTTAAGCATTCAAAACAAGAACAGTAGCTATTTCGTAGAATGGATACCTAACAATGTCAAAGTTGCTGTGTGTGACATACCTCCAAGAGGCCTTAAAATGTCTGGTACCTTTATTGGAAACTCAACGGCTATACAAGAATTGTTCAAACGTATTTCAGAACAGTTTTCTGCTATGTTCCGTAGAAAAGCTTTCGTGCACTGGTACACAGGAGAAGGAATGGATGAAATGGAGTTTACTGAAGCCGAATCAAACATGAATGACCTCATTTCCGAATACCAACAGTATGAAAATGCATCTATAGATGATGACGCTGATTTTGACGATGATCAAGATGAGGAAGAAATACCTGAAGAAAATTGATTTTTTAAAGAATTTACAAAATGTTTGTCACTTTTTTCATTGTTTTTTTATTTATGATTAAAAATTAATACAACTCCATTGTTTTTCTGCATTATCGTTGTTACCCATGCCAATTTTGAATTTTTGGTGTAACCAATTATTTTACCTTTGAAAACTGGTTAAATATTCAAGAAAGTATTTGATCTTAATTCATCATAATCAAAACAATATTTAAAGTAAAAACATAAATACATTATCAAAATACAATATAACATAATTTATAGTTGACGAAATGGTGACGTTCAGCCTGGACTATTTTTCAACTTAACCTTAGCAATAATAAAAATAATAATTAGGATGTAAAAAAAAATTAGAGTTTTCTTAAGGTGGGTACTCACTGAGCCAACGAACAGCGAACTTCGAACTATTCGGTCAATGTATACGTTAAAGCGAACCGAATGGCAATTTTACGTTCGGTTCGCTTTCGTTCGCTCGGAAGGCGGAACTTCAAAAGGATTTGTTGTTCGGTGTTGACGTGATTCGCGGTGTCATCGACGATTTCATCAGACGAACTCCGAATTTGTCCTGTGGGCAGTTAAGTAAAATAAGTAAACATGTCTGAAAAAATTGAATGGATGGATGAACTTACTCTTGAGTTAATTGAGGCTTACAGAAAGGAGGAATTATTATGGAATCCTTCGAATAATTTGTATCATAACAATAATAAAAGAAAGATGCATGGAAGCGGTTGGGCGAGCTTTTCGGCTGTAAGGTAAACCTTATTAAATATTTATTATATGCTTTTTGCAATAACATTTTAAAATAAAAATTCTACCAAAGTTTTTTTTTTTTTTCGTTTTTAAAATATTTTGTAAGGTGTTAAGCCAATATTAAGTAAATATTTCAATCATAAGAAAATTGTAATTTAGTTTTTAGCTAGAATTTTTAACTAGCATTGTTAGTTGATATTGGGTTAAGGTCTAACCAAGCAATTTTAAAATTAGATATCGCCAATAAAAAAGTTATCATTATTTAAATATATCAGTTACATAAAATAAAAATAAAATGTGTTGTTTTACAAATAGTTGTGTTAATGTTAATATGACAATCCATTTATTTGGTATCGCAAAATTTACTTATGTGTTTTATTTACAGGAAGGAGATACTAAGAAAAAAAAGATTCTCTTCTGACCTCATTCCGCCGGGAAAGACAAAAATGTACACCCCATTCAGGAGATGGAATGGACGATGTTTATATATCACACTGGTTTGCATTTAAACACATGCAATTTCTAATGGATAAGTTTAAACCTAGAAAAACTATTGACAATGTTTCATCGGTAAGCAAATCAAATATATTTAACTCTTTAAATCTTACATTTCATAGGTTACTAAAGTGATTAGATATTTTAAGCATAAGTATTTTGCCATGGTACACTTCCTACATCTGACATAAAATAATCGGCATATTCTTCTCTTATCGTCTTGCAGTTTTGGTACGGTTTTCGGCCGATTTTCTTTAACGGCAAAAAGGACGTAAGTTTTCCTAAATTCCTCCAATTTCCCAAACGAATTATGCCCTCAGTTTCTTCATCAATGGAACCTTCTGACATATAGTTTTTTGAAGAAGTTTTACGTAAAAAATTGTGTAAATAGATGCAGCACTGTATGACAGTACTTGCCTTCGCAGGTTCTAAAAGCAGTGGCTTTCGAAGTACTCTGAATACCGCAGAAAGAATCCCAAATGAATTCTCTACTACTCTTCGAGCTCTTGATAGTCTATAGTTAAAAATTCTCTTCTTTGAGCCACTCTCTTGAATACCTGGATAAGGTTTCATTACATGCTCCTGAAGACCAAAAGCATCATCGGCTATGAATATATACGGTACTTGTTTTGTTCTTCCTGGTAAGGAGGCATCATCAGGTATACCTAACGTGTTATTTAAAAGTTTTTTATACAATAACGTATTTTTGAAAACACCACCGTCTGATATTCGTCCTTGACATCCAATATCAACATATACAAAATTATAATCTGCATCTACAATGCCCAAAAGTACAATACTGAATGTTGACTTATAATTAAAAAATGTGCTTCCGCTCTTCATTGGAGCTTATAAAACACAATGCTTTCCGTCGATGGATCCTAGGCAATGTGGAAAATTCCATTGTCTTTCATAACCTTGCGCGACAGACTACCATTCTTCTGGTGAAGATGTAACCTAATAAAAATATTAATGTATAACTTAAAAAAAAAGAATAAAATTAGCATGATTAAAAATACAATAATTAGCACGATTTTTTTTATTTTAGGTCACCCATGGTTCACCTGATGACGTAGAAGATATTAATTTAAACGATAGTAAGAACGAAAATACAACAGCTCAGGATAAAGAAAATCCTGCGAAACAGGGACAAAAAAGTCACCACGATATGCAACTAAAAAACACAACTAAATCCGACAAAAAACGACAACGACAAGAGGATCCTCGCATAGATGAAGCATATTCTATTCTAAAAGATTCATTAGCGCAAAAAACTAGAGACGAAAGCACAGTATTTGGGGAGCATGTGGCTAATAAACACCGCAAATACAATTCAAAAATTCGAAGCATCGTCGAACATAAAATTAATGACATACTATTTCTAGCGGATATGGGATATTTATCTCAAAGTTCCTACCACCAGGCGTCACAATCTCCGCATGGATCAACCTATATATATTCAATCCTCCACATCCTCTTCTCAACCAAAATCTTTTCATGCTGTTACTACACCTTATCAAACGCCAGCACCATTGCCATCTCCGCAAAATGAAGATATTATTACTACACAATATGAGTATGAACAGCCAACCAAAAATATCATGCAGGTTGCCACTGAATTTACGGGAGAATAAAAACGCTACTGTTTGTTGAATAACTAGTTTGGGTTTTTTATTTGTATGTGTTCTTGAAATATATCTGATTTTGTAAATAAAAAAAAAATATTTATAAATAAAGTTTTTTTTTTACTTACCTTAACACAATCGTGTAAAGCTTCTACTAATGCGCCACAAAGTTCAGGAATTATTTTTGAAATGCACTTGCTTGGATATCTTAAAAAGATACATCAGACTTGTATAAGAATCTCTAGTTGCTAAAAATCGCAGAGCTAGTGCCAGTCTTTCCTTAGGTGGAATTGCTTCTCGAAAATTAGTAGACTTTTTACAAATTTTTGCACCTATTTTTTGAAGTAAAAGTTCAAAATCCGAGGCGGTCATTCTACAAAAATTATGGAACAGTCCTAAATCACTCCTTAGATCAGATAAAAGGTCCAACACTCTATATTTATCTCGACTTTGGTATATTTTTGACATTCAATATCTTCGTTTTCTTTTTTGTTTTTTACTTGTTTTTAGTAATCCCGCAATAATTACGAAAGACGATGCCGCGATAATCTCGTCACACATTTTTGCACATACAGGCAAATGCCAATCGAACTTTTAAAAATAACTGTATTCGCTTCATACAGGCAAATGCCAATCGAACTTTAAAAATAACTGTATTCGCTTCGGGTTCCCTCGTCGACAAATTTACGACCGAACAAACTCAGAACCTTTGTTGTTCGGAGTTCGCTGTTCGTTCGGAATTCGTTCGCTCCAGTGAGTACCCACCTTAAAATTTACAAAGGTAAAAAAAAAAGAATTGCTGGGTGCTGATACACTTAAGAGTGGATGTGGATATAAATAATGTATGTCTTTTTTTAAAGTTTACTGATATGTACGATCTAAAATAAGCAGGTAACTTATTAAAGACGAGACGCAATAAGAGAAATTTCTGTTGGAAATTGTTTTATTGTGATGAGGAATTACCAGAGCATTTTGGTTTTTAGTAAAAAAATTCTAGTGTGCGAAAGATCTCTAATCAATAAGAATTTTGTTCGTCATACACAGAATATGTAATTTCCTCAAGGAATCGAGCATAAGCCATTTAGTTTCTACATCCTGGAATCAGGGACCTTCCGTAAAGGCTGAACTCGTCTGGTACACAGACGGTTTAAAAACCAAAGAAGGAGCCGGTGCTGAAATCTATGGACCCAAGTCGAAAACGACGATTTCCTTGAGTTTAGGAATATATGCAACTGTGTTCCAGGCTGAACTAATAGCCATACAACACTGTGCAAGAGAAATATTAAATCAGCAAGTATCAGGCAAAACTATTGCCATATACTCCGATAGCCAAGCAGCTCTAAAGGCACTTCTCTCACCAGAAATTAAATCACGACTGGTGAAAAACTGTCTAGAAGACCTGGCAGAGCTAAGTAGTCAAAATAAGGTGACCCCAGCCTGGGTTCCAGGTCATGAGGGATATCAGGGCAACGGAAAGGCCGACGAATTAGCTAGATAAGGCCATGGCAGGCCCCCCCGACCCCTTCTGTGGAGTTGCTAAGGCATCCATTAAACAATGGATGCAAAAAGAGTTTCAGGAATGGTGGAACAACTATCCAAGACTGAGACAGGCCAAGGAATCATCGGCCAAGTTCAAGAAAGATCTACTGGATCAAAAGCGTCAAATCGTTGGGATAACAGTAGGCCTTCTTACTGGACACTGTCGCCTTAAAAGGCACATGCGTGTTATAAATCCAGCAGAAGAAGCAACTTTGTGCAGGTTCTGTGAAGAAGAAGAGGAAACATCATCCCACGTCCTGTGCCAATGTGAAGGCCTGGCTGGACTGAGGTTTTTAACAATGGGCGAAGAAAAGCCAAATGCATACAACTACATGCGGGAGCCACTGTCAAAGCTACTAAGTCTAATAAAAAAGACCAGACTATACGACATACTCTAAAACAAACGGGAGTCCCACAATAGATCTGAAAAGGTCACGGTGGACAAGGACAAATAACGTCCAACTCCTAATCTAATCTTCTACATATTTATGAGACATATAATCACCAAAGGAAAAACGCAGACAAAAATTCTGGTTCTTCGGTAATCATTGTGAGTTGCGATAATCGAGTGCAGGGCCATAGACTATATCATAGTAGCGAATTTTAGAGACAAAAAGAGATTCACAAAGCTTTAAATTTGATGACAAAAGATCTGAAAATTTTGAACTTATTATCGAGAAAATCGAAAAATCAGTATATCTGAAAAATAATTTGAAAATTCAGCAACCCTCTACGAATTATTAAGACCGTCCCCGAAGCCCGAAGGTGAAAACAAATACTAGTAGATTTGAAAAAAAAAAAACCTGTCGTCGCCTAGGATCGAACCCAGACATTCATGTTCTCCGGACGTGTGCACTTATATCGTTGGACCATCAACGACAGTGACTGTCGAGATTCCTAGAAGGAAATTTGATGTGATATTTCCGGCCAGACGACGTTCAGGTTCTTTCTCAAATCTACAAATACCTTTAATACAGCATTTCACCTTTGGGGCTCGGGAATTTTTATTAATAAATCGTAGGGGGATTGTTGAGAGATATTTTTTAGAATTTTCAAATTATAAAAGATCTGTTTGTGTAAAGTTACCTAACATTGTATGAAGTTTGACATCTAAGATTAGAATCCATCCAGAGTCCTAAATTTTTATATTCATTCACTAATTTTGTTGTGGTAAAACATTTAGTTGAATGTTAATTTGTATGGTGTTAAGATCATGAATATATTTTTTTGAGCCGAATGTCATTACAGCAGAGTTTTTTGGATCTAATTTTAATTTATGAGCTGATGAAATGTTTAATAAGGAATCTAAACGGTTTTAATTTTATTATGAGAGGTTACTGAATGAAGCATTAAATATATTTGTGTATCATGCGCGTATTAAGTATTTGAAAATATCAGAAATATCGAAAATAGTACAGGTCCGAGGATTAGACCTTGAGGTACTCTATAATTGACAGGCAAAGCTTTCGATGCCTTTATTATTTAATTTTACTCTTTAGGTTTCATTTTTTAAATAAGATCTTATTAGATCAGCTATAGTCTAAATAAAAGAGGAGTAGAGTAAAAGTGTGGATATAACGTCATATTCCATAGGCGTACTTTGTATAACAAGTTTCTATAATATAAAAAAGGTCACGGCATATAAAATGGTATACACGCACTTCGTAGAATAAATTTTGAATGGAAAAAGTTATATTATTTACAAAAAATAAACCTTATTAGGCTTCTCACAAAATTGTTGCACTTTAACATTGAACGAATTAAATTTAACCAATAAATAACAAGGATTATATGTCGTTAATCAAAAAGTTCAAGAAATATCTTTAAAAGTCACTGTCTGCGTGGTAAGGAGGCAATCTGAGAATTTAAATTCCTCTTTGTCGGGCCATATTTTTTGAATTTGTTTTTATGTTGTCTTACTATTATGAGTAATTCTGCCTTCAAGGATTTAGGTGGACTGATAATATTTTTAGAATGAAGCCATTTTGAAATATCTTCTTTTTTCCATCTTGTTGTAGTAACTCCTTTACTCGCTGTGATAGGATGTATTATCCAAAACATTAACCGAGTGGATGGAATTTTATTATAAACATAAGGTATTTCATTTCTTCATGGCAGTCTTTTGTTTTATTTAACTCGAACATTAATAAACCATCTGGCAAAAATGCATCGGTGCTTCCAATGTGGCTTATTATTAAACGATTTCCTTTTTCTGTTGATTTTTTAATTCATAAAGGCTTATTCTTTAGTTTTGATGGAGGTATCTTAAAATTTTTTTGTTAATGTATGTCCAGCAATAATCACGTTTCATCTAAATGAAATACCCGTTTATGCCCTTGCAGCCGTTATTTTCCTTAAATAATGTCTTCACGCAATGATTTCGTCTTTCTCTATTAAAAAGATGTTTCTATCACGTTTTTTGTAACGTAAATTTAATTCATTTAATCTTTCATGCAGATGAAATTATATGATATATTTGGAAGACTCGGGCTATTTTCTATTTCCGAGTGTAATGTTTTAAAAGTAGGAATTTAATTTCGAAAGAAAAAAGAATTTACCATTTGCCTTACATTCTTTACTCAAGTTTCAATAAAGGTCTTGTTTCTTCCTGGGGACGTTTTCGGATGTGAGACTTCTCCAATATCTTCTTTAATAAGGTTTTACACTATCCGCTTAGATACTACAAGGTCTCACTTTTAGTAGTTATTTCATCCATGAAAGTAAAACAAAGTTTTTTTGAAGATTATTAAATACATTAAGTACGATATTTTTTCTTCTAACGATAATATTTTATGTCCACTAGATCGTTTACGCGTACTTATTCTTGCATTATTTCCAATGCACTCGCCATTCTCACATAACTAAAATTATAATATATACTAATAAAAAATTCCGAATCAAAATACATACGATACGGCTATGAATAAAGTTTGACTTATCTGTCAAAAAAAAGGTCTATGACAGTAAAAAGTATGGAAACATGATTAAATCTAAACGAAAACTTTTATTAATCCGATCAAATGTATTAAATGTTTTATTTTAACTACAAATAAGCATTGAAATGTCTACCTCTTGAACATGTTCGTTCTGCAAATTAAATTAATTCTTCTTCTTCTTCTTCTTCTTCTCTAGACTATAAGTTGTTATTGATACAAAAAAAAAATATATATTTTTTAATAAAGTATGATCATGAGTATTGAAAGCTATACTGTAGTCAAGAAGAATCACTTCATTTTAGTCAACGAATTAAATCTGCCGTTGTAGAGCTATGAGGGGCGCGAAACACCGCTCAGATGCTACAATGCCAGAAACGTTTATAAATTTAAGCATTTGATCTGTTAGTGCCACTTCAACAACTTTAGATAAGTCAGGTAGAATACTAATTGGTATTGAATCCGCGAGAATGAAGTGAATTGCATTTTACAATTGGCATGACCGATGCTGTTTTCTCAGCAAGAAAGAAATGTATTGGAAGAATAAAAAGTAGAATATAGTAAAATTCCCATTATAGTTCAATTAGCACCTCCTCGAGATCACAAAGATACAGTATTATCTTGAAGCATATGTGTATATTTAAAAAAAACTATGATTTCGTCTGGCTCTAACTCATATTTTCTCATTATAATTTTTACCCACTGATATTATGCAGTTGTTAAAAATACCTTAAATTGTAAATAGTTATCTTACAATGTTTTCTACAACAGAGAAAATGTTATATATTTTCGTCCTTTATCCAACAAGGCTAGACATCGTATGAGCAAGATTAAGTAAAAAAATAGCTAGGAAAATTTATCTCACATAGAATAAGAAACCCCCAAGTCCTGAATTTCAAACGTCCCTTCCTCCCTTACATCTAACAAGTTATAAAAATAATTAAAAAAAAGACCTCTGAATCGTGCAATGCCTTTGCAAGTTGAAGAGTTTAATGATTTTCTCATGTATTCCATTGTCAGACCTTGACCAAATGTATATGGGATCATCCCTTGACGTATCCCCTTTCTAACAAAAAAGAATCATAAAAATCGGACAACGTGGTAAAGAATTATCGTTGAACGTTCAGAAAAAAATATATTCCAACGAAATGAGAACTTTTTTCTTTAAAATAAAAAAAAAGAATTTATGCCAAATTCCAAAATGTAAAACAATTGATAACTTTATAAACTCAATATGATAAAAACTAAATTAGAAACCAAAAGAAAACAAATAGTACATAATAAAATATTAATACAAGTAACATTTACTATTTAATCTTAAAAATCTAGCAAACAGTTTGGAGAGCATCTAAATCAGCCATATTCAACCTGCGACTCGCGGGCTACATGCGGCCCTCCAAGCTTTTTTTGCGGCCCGAAACTATGGGTTTGTTTTTAAAATTTTGAGCAAATGCGCGAAAACATACATCGGTCCCTGCGCTGAATATCACGCTGATTTTTACATAAACGTTTGGATCATGGAGTTACTACAAAAATAAGACATCTCCACTTTTGGCATTTTCGAGTTAAGTACACTTTCGTCTCCAAAATAGTTTAAATAATATACGGCATAAACAAAAATGAAAAACAAATGGTCAAAAAACTAACTACATATCGATACATTCACAATATGCATAAAGTTGAATGGCATTTTTAACGAAATAGAATCATACTATTGTGTTCAGTTGCCAAAACCAGATAAGAGACATACAACTTATTTTTGCTAAATGTATTTAGTCCGATTCCTTAATGTTTCGGCAAAAACAAGATAAAGGCCAGAACACTTATTTTTGTTGAATGTATGTCAAAATAAATAAAATAAAACATTTTGTCCAAGTTATTTGTTTTGCCTAGAGCCGTCTCTGGCCTTTCTCGATTGGTCCGAAATCGATAAGGTGATTACGTCACCCTTTCTTTCCATGATACAGCTAACCTTCAAAGACTAATAGATAATAACACGTGATGACCGAATCGCCGTGGTGAATGATTGATAAGCCGAAAGAAGTACTTGGTCAAGCTGTAACGAGCAGGGATGTTGACGCTCGACTTCATATTATTTTCGCGTTAAAACGACCAGAAGCACTTCTTAAATCACCGAAACACGAGATTTTCACATTGCTTGAAAAACCCAAGCCATATCGGTAGAGGTATGCCAGAAAGGGTGAAAAAAGCTCTGAAAATACTTATAAAAAAGTGCAAGACATTAGTAATGCCAAGATTTACTAAAACTTTGCAAATCAGGTTCTATACACAATCTACCTGTATCCAATAATGTTAAAGACACGGTACCTGAACCTTCCATTGAAGATGGTGACACAGAAATTGAATATTATGACCTGCATGTAGACAGCTAAAATAAGCAAAGTGACGTTACTTTTCTCTTGTTTTTGTTAAAAATCGTTTATACTTTGTGAAGACTAATTATGTTTTAGAATACCTTTTTTTCATAGGAGTTATTGCTTAATTAACAGTTTGAAGCTTTTATTAGTTTTTTTTTTTGGAGTGGCCCCGTGTCCGATATCGGATTCGCAGCTGTGCGTTCTTGACGTCCGATCTCGGACGTAGAGCTTCAAATTCTGTATGTCCTGCATCGGCGTCGACGTGCTGCCGTCTTCCTTTAAATTTCTAAAGTAGTTTAAGTAATTATTCATGGCTCGCATTTGTTAAGGCGAATACCTAAAGGGGGTTCCACAAGGTTTAATTAAACAATTTTTTGTTGGACCTTTAAATTTGCATATTCTCAAATCGATCATTGTTCCACGACGCTCACCAACTATTTTTGTTTCTAGTAAAAAAATATTTTTTTGTCTGGACATAAGGTCTGGTGACCATATTTCTTTTTGACCCAATGCTAGACGCGAGAGGTGCGAGGACCTTTTTGTTAGCTCTTCAAGCCAAAGATAAAAAACAGAATCATGTAGTTTTACGTTTCAGTTAATTATGTATCACATATTACATTTGCTGGACAATAACTACGTTTTGTTAGACAAATACGGCGATTTGTTGGACAAATATAGCGTTACTGTAGGTTTGCTGTACAATACATAAGGGGCAACCTAACAATAATTATTACGATACGTTTGTAAAACATAAAATCTAGGAGCAGTTTGGTATACAGCAGCCCACTCTAAAACTGCATCGTTAGAAATTGAGTGTTGTTTAATACTGCTTGACGTGCAACTCCCCTTTAAAATCAATCATTGTTTTTCTCTTACATGTTTTTTTTTATATAATTTTTGTTATATATGAATGTTATTAAGTACCTACTTTATACCTTTTAATTAAATTTAATTTTTTACCTCTATTGAGTCAAGCAGATTTCACTTAGGTAGGATAGGTATCTACAGACCTTATTATTATTATAAAAAATGTTAAATGTTTATTATAATTATAAATTATTAAATCGTAATTTTTACAAAACAATATTTTTTAAACTTATTCCTTATATAACAATTCAAACTGATCCTAAATTATATGGTATACAGGCATATCGTGTATTAGGTCAGGTACATGTCCCTTATATGTCCCTAAAGACTAATTTACGAAAAAAAAAAGTCGCGTCCAGCGTCACGGGGAGAATGATCAGTCAATTTGAAAAAAATGGAAATTTAAAGTCTAAAGAAAAACTTGATTAATTAAACTTTGTTTATTATGAAATGTTAAAATATAAAATGCAACAATAATAAGTTAATTCTTAAGTGAGTAATAACACTAGTAACTTAAGGAACACCCTCTTCTTCGCTTTTAAAAATAGGACCCGTTATTATTTATTAAGGGCCGATTCCACCGTTGTGTTAAACGGAGATTAAAATGACATTGTTAATGTAAAAATGTCATTTTAAACTTCGTTTAACACAACGGTGGAATCGGTCCTAAGCAATTTAAAGAAAGGCGGCAGCACATCGACGATGAAGGACATACAGAATTTGATGATCTATGTACGAGGTAGGACGCGGAGAGCGCGTAGCTGCGTATCCGATATCGGACACGGAGCCACTGCCTTGTGAGTGAGTTATCTTGTTTTTATTTATTAGAGATTCCCACTAATTTTAAATGGATAACCTAAAAAAAGGGTCATCATTCAATATACTGCGCCCCGTGTAACAAGGAAAAAAAGGTTGAGTATGACTTATTTAAATTGATGTTTAAATGCATATCTCAACAACAATAAAATATCTTGTGGTTTTCCAGTCTAGGTCTTTTATTAATCTAGGAGCTTCATCATCCATTCAATATCAAAATAGGTGCCGAATAAAAATACTCAAACTATTGACTGCTCCTCTACTAAAAGCTAAATTCACACTGTATAGATTTGTTGAACTATAGCTAAATGGTGATACTCATCTGATATTATTGATGATCCCAGTGAAGTTTGGTATAATAAATTTTTCACTCGGTAGAAATTAAGGCCTATTTCTTCCCAAATGATTATCAAAATCATAATAGTATTCTATTAGATTCTGACAAACCTATAAGTAAATCCTTAAATAAAAATGAACCTAAGAAATTAAAGAATTTTATTTTTGTATGTACAAATATTAAAATCTACATTCATTGACTGTATATTTTAAAGAAATCAAGAATTAAAAAAATCTTATTTATAAGTCACATTGTAAGTTTTACTATTCGGTTTTTTTCTAGGTTTTAAAACAAATCCGCCATTTTCATCTATAACTGCGTCCATAACAATTTGAGTGGGATCATCAGTTTTTTCAATTTCTTCTTCATTTTCAGTCTCCTCTTGTGCCTCCTCGCTCATTTCTGCAACTTCAACCATATCTGCCCCTGGTTCCAGATCACTAGATATTATCGAGAAATTGGAAGCATTAATCAGTTCGTCAGTAACCTCGCCTTTATATCTATAAAATCCCCAAATCCATAACTGGTTCTCCATGCATTTAATGTAACCCAAAACTCTAGAGAAGAAATTATTAATATTAATCTTTGGATGCGTTTCTATGAACTGCCAAGCTCTTAAGACATTCTTCTTTTGAGCACTACTCAGATCCCTAGCAAAAGATTTTTTATTGCCAGATGTATAAGTCACATGAAGGAATTGTTCCAGTTCAATGAGCTTTTCTATTACAACCATAATGTCGGGTACGTTTCTTTTTCCTTTAGATAACATTATGTAGTCCCGTAATTTTTTGAATGGTGCTATTACGTTCTCGTTTATTCTATTTTCTAATCGATGGACACAGAAGAGATCTGGAGTAACTTTATTAAGCCATTCGGATTCCATGTGTTCGAACAGATCTTTCGTCAAATGTGTAATGCCCATTTGAGTAGCCTGTGCTTGGATATTCTGAAAGCCATCCAATATCGTATTCACTGGTAATAAGGGCAACATCAGTAACATATGATAAACATTTCTAAAATAAGTGTTTGTTTCCAAATCTTTTGCCAAATCTAAATAACATATCTTTTTGTAGATATTCTGTGTGTAGTAAAATGCAGACCCTCCAATACTAGAATCGACATATATTTCTCCTAGAGCATAGTACAGGTTAGATTCGTATTCCGTTACAATTTCATCTGGTCTAAGTCTTGGAGCTAAGGTGTCATGCAAAAATTCAAAAATCTTTTTATAGATTTCTTGGGTTTTGTAATTAACCAAAGCAAACATTATTGGATAATACTGAAACAAAGTTACATTATTATAAATTGAAAGAAGTCATTTTCCTAAAAAAAAATTATAAATTTTTCTGATAAAAAATCGTACTCTTAAAGATGAAAATAAATATAGGTGGAAGGGTTTTAGTTATGTGAAAAAATATAAAATAATTGTTAATACAATTTAATGCTTGGGATTATTTTCTATGGAAAGAGACTAAACTAAAGCCATCATACATTGCAGCCTGTTTACTGCATGTCTATTGCTTGCAATTTAGAATTACACATCCTTTGTACACTGTAGCATGTTTTCAAGACTTTTTATTTAAAGCTTACTGTCATCTGTAATTGCTGCTAACATTGCGAATTGTGACAGTTTTGACGGTTGATCGACCGTTGCTGTTTATGAACTTTTATTTTGAATGTAGAGTTTATTGTAAATGAAAATTTATTAAAATTATTATTGCAAAGAAAATGGATTTAGCCGATTTGGTAGACGACGAGACCTTTATAACAACAAAGCTACTACTACAAAGCAAAAGAAGAAAACAAGAAAAAAATTTGTTTTTGTAATTAATTTAATATATTTTTTCTAATTTTGACATATAAAGTGACATTTTTCTGTAATCGCAGTAAGTGTCAAAATTATCTACTTTACGCAACCAGTTGCATAATTTTAAACATTATGAAACTTGTTACGAAAAATTCAGGTTGACTTACAAAAATAGAATTTGGTTAAACTTACAATCTAGTAATAATGTTGTTTTGGTACCTATTTTCCAGTCCAAATCAGCACAAAATAATTAAAAAACAATAGGTACATGACAAAATAACCCACTTATTTGAAAACTAAATAACTTTAATAAACAATAATACACTACAAGTCATTGAGAATAAATAATTATTAATGATGTTCTAATTGTCAATAAAATTATGCTTATGCAACTAACAATACAAGAAAGTAATATTGGTTGCCTAAATGTCAGTAAAACACAATTTTACTCAAAATTAGAAAAATATTGTATGTAAAACGTTACGAAGTGCCGTTTTTGTAACTTGTTCATGTTGTGGGATCTTGCTCTGCTCGTCCCGCAAATATTCACTCGTTACATAAAATAAGGCATTTCACAACTGGTATTATAAATAGCTATTAGGTCACTGAAACCACCTTGAAATTGAGAGTTGTTTATTGACTGGAAATCAGAGACCACCAAAGGAGGTTTCCATATCAGTATGTTTATGTTACATATTTAGTTCCCTATATTTTTTATAGTCAATAAACGTTTATTTGTACTCTTTCAAAAAAAGGTGTATTTTTTAACACCTATGTTACGCAGCACCCTGCAGTAGCCTGCGGCTGTTATGAGAAAAGTACGAGTACAAGTTCGAGAAGATTAAAGCAAGCTATATATGCAGTGATCCTAAAGTCAGTTTTTCAGTTTTATGATAGACGTTACATGTTAATGTTATCAGTTGTATAATTGTTGTTAAAGTTGAGTTGAAATAAATTGTGATACCAAAAACCTGCGTAACATTGGTGACAGCAGTGAGATATATAAAGTAAAAGTTACCCTATTCATGGTAAATACTAGGTCCACTGCGCACGAAACAGATATAGACACTTCAGGCCCACCAGCATGGTTTTTGAAGATGGAAGAGGAGAGAAAAAGGCGAGAAGAGAGGCGTAGAAAATAAGCGATTGAAATTATGAAAGGTTTGCTACAACTCCAGAAAACCTTCAAGCAAGAGATTGGTCAGCTTAAAATTATAGTAGAGCTGTTACAGCAACAACAAGAGCATTTAAAAACTAATTTAGAATAGCAGCAAGAGCATTTAAAAATTAATTTAGAACAACAATGAGAGAATTTAAAACAACAGGAAAAGGCTAGAGTAAAATTCGAAATACAAATAAGAACTGAACTAGTTGAGCTAGAAAGAAGAATTCGTAGAAAGAAGAATTCGATAAGCAACAGAGAAACTGGAAACACTACCCCGTCCTCATCTTTAACCAAACCAAGCCATATCCAAAACAAAATTTCACAAAGCCATACTAGCAAGACCATTAAGCCACCCACGTTTGACGGTCAGACAACTTGGGAAACGTATCGACTTTAATTTGAAGCTGCAGCTAGAGCTAATGGCTGGACCGATAAAGATATGGCGGCTTCATTGATAGTGTCGCTGCAGGGACAGGCAGCAACCGTTTTAGAGTTACTTCCCCAAGAAGAACCCAGTTATTCATCTATCTTTCAAGCTTTGTAGACAAGATATGGCCAGCAGCATTTGAAAGGGGTATTTCAAAGTCAGCTAAAGGTTCGTAGTCAGAAACATAATGGGCGCGTCCAGCCGACGCAACAGTTAATTAAAACCGAAAACATGTTTCTGATATGGTGGAAGTCAATAATTAAAAGTACCTGAACGGTATAAGTTGGTTTAGCAATTAGACAATACACACACACGTGGTGACCTCTAGTGATGATATAAATAAAATCATTTTCGGTTACAAATTAATATCATGTAAAAATATACTAAGTCATAATCAGTGATAACGGACATTTTTCATCATGTTTTAACTTTAGAATTTTAAAAACAACAAAAATCATGTTCAAAGTTAAGAAATGTGCGGTTATAATCACATATAAACAGCTTTATCCTCCTAGAGTGGTTAAAAATCAATAAAAAAACACTAGAAATCTCTAAATTAAAAATGTCTTTAGTTTGCAACACTGAGTACAATACTTCGTTTACAAGTCACCATAGAATTTTCCTGGTGCCGACGTTGAGCAACGGTTGAAACTAACCAAAACTCAACAAGTGACGTTCAGAAGATCCAACAAGTCACCATACCAACTGTTGCGTCGGCTGAACGCGCCCAATGAGAGTCTACAGGAATTCAAGGCCGACATAAGACGATTGATTCATCTGGCCTATCCACAGGCGCCCAAAGATTTCCAAGAACAAATCGGATTGCAAGCATTCATTGATGGACTACAAGATGTGGAAATGCAGAAAGTCCTTTGTCTACAACATCACAAGACGCTGAGGGAGAAACTGATTGCAGCCCAGGAATATGAAGCGGTAAAACTTCTTTCCAGATCTTCTCGCGCAAGAGTGAGAGAAACTAGAGTCCAGGATAGCGAAGAGGCCACTACTAAAACTATCCTTCAACCTACCCTCTCACAAATCCTAAATATCCTGCAAAATATGCAAGAAACAGCCAAAATGGGAGCAGGAGATGCTTTAATTGTGGAAGAAACGGACACCTTCAAAGGACCTGCAGAAGCAGGGCTCGTTCCATAAATCAGGAATCAGGGAATGAGGCCAGAAAGTCACATAGATCAATTTCCCGAAGACCGCCACGAAGCCCAACAAGAAATAATTACAGCAGTTATGCGTCCCGGAGAAGCCGATCACCCACACCTAGCTGGCTTTCTAGCAATAACCAGGAAGTAGAGCATCTTAGAGGCCGTTTTCATAGCTACGCAGACATTCTATCCAAGCGACCCTGTTTAGAACGAGAACGTCGGTACAGTAAAGGGCTCGGAGAACGAGAGGAACCGGTTGATAAAGTTACTTTTCGGGAAACCACTATCAAGCCAGAGGGCGACGAAGAAATCACCCTTGAAAGCCTGAGAAAGGGGCAGAAGAAAGACAATGACTTGAAGGTTATCCGAGAATGGCTCAAAAATAAAGTCAGACCAACATGGAAAGAAATAGCCAAATATAGTGGAACCATTGAAGGGTACTGGACTCAGTGGGATTTCCTGTACAATCCCAAGCATCGAAAGGACTTTGTCAGAAACTGCAACGGAACTGGGAAGGCCCCTACACCGTCCTCAAGAAAATCAACGACCTGGTTGTCAGCGGGAAGTAAACCCAAGGTAGTTCACATTGAAAAGTTAGCGCCATATCGTAGTCCGGATCCTCCCCGTTGGCTTCATCCAGGTCCCGGTAATCAAGTTATTCGGGGCGAATAACTAGAGAAGAAGGAGCAATGTTACGCAGCACCCTGCGGCTGTTATAGGAAACATACGAATACAAAAAGAAGAGCAATGTTACTCATCGCCCTACAGTGTGCTGCGGTCGTCATAAGTAAAAGTACTAGCAAAAGAAGATAGAATAGTCCAGAAATGTCATTCCACGTCAAGGAAAAGTCTAAACAGTTCGAGAAGGTTAAAGCCTGACGTCAGTTTTTCAGTTTTATGACAGGCGTTACATGTATAATTGTTGTTAAAGTTGAGTTGAAATAAAATTAAAAAAAAAACATGAAAATAAAATAGGTCATGTGACATATCGTTGGAAAGGTATTTGAATTAAGGTCCTTAAGATATATCTAATTTTTGTGAGCTGTGTTTGACCAAATATGGTCAATTTTTCGATTTTTAAAAATCAATAAAAAAACTACTGATCAGAAAAAAAATATATTTTGGATTTTCATCCCAGACATATAGAGAATCAGTGAACCAAATTTTATCAAAATCGGTGAGAAGGTCTGCCAAGCGTCTGGTTGATTTGAAATGAAACGCCCCTTTTAGTATTTTCTGTATTGGTTGACTAATAAAATACTCTATTAGATTATTACTTACACTTTCTTCAATCCAAACTAGAACGGTCACTAGCTGATATGCAAACGATTCCCCACTTTCAATTTTGAAAGATGCATCGATATACATCAACTCACTATCAGACATTTCCTCAATTGTATCAAGATTCGCAAATACAATAGCTTTGGCATTATCTTCAGCAGTAAACTTTTCTTGGTAAAATTGCGCTCCCTCAAGGGTAAATTGGAATTTTTGATAAGCATCATCTTCGATGTGATTACATAAAATGTCAAAAGATGTAATAGGAATCAGTTTATGATTGAATTGATGACGACATATCTCATTAATTACATTTCTGAGCGGGATAAGTTGCTTGATTTCAGGATCCCTTAAAAAAAGTAAAAGCAACAAATTTAAATTGAATTCATTCACAACTAACAATTTGATTATCAGATACATTGAATTTTATCGAATTGATAATAACAAGCTCTTGTATTTTAAATTATATGTTTTAGCGTTAACGGTTATTATTTTGACTGCGGCACATGCCGTTCTCAGTATGTGATCGTTTTAACTTATGTGCACCATGAAAATCATTAGTACTTCTCTAACTTGCGGAATGAATAACTTAATTATTTTTTAACTGATATGAATGAAACTAAGTTAATGTAAGAGAGTGGTAAAGTATTTTTGTATCACATGCCAAAATAGGCATGTGTCGCACACAATTCATAATTTTTTTTATTTACCCATATCCGAAAAAAGGATAATATTTTGTTTTTCCAATGACACAACTTTCACCGCATTCTTTTAGCATTGTATGATTTGATTCTGTATGCGCCAGGGATACAAATACGAGTTGCGCAATGTATAAACTGGAACATTGAGATCAAAAGTGCCGAGGCAAAGTGAGCGAACTGATTCTTAAGCTATAAACTGTGCCAGAACATAACCTGTTTGTAAGATCTTGTCGAGCGAGTTGGTAAGGAATTTTTCCATTTTTTTTTTCTCTTTTTATTGTTTGAAATAAATATTAATATTTTGTCAGTTGTTTATATAAATTGTTTGGATACTGTGCAACATGAAATATATTTATTTTCTAAAAGTTAAAGATGGTGTCACACTTACCCCAATTTTTTACTTACAATACACACTTACTCCGTTTGTAGCGAACAACGTAACTTAAAAAACAAAATACAAAATAACTACTATTTATACCAAAGAAAATTTAATAACTGCGTTAGAACATATTAAATGTAAGACAATTAGTATAAAATGAGCCAGTATTGTCTATCAAATTCCAAGATCAACATTGACTGATCATTTGGCAGGAAGAAGAGGAGTAAAGAGTAAAAGTTTAGGAAGAAATGCAGATATAAGTTTTGAAAATGAAGAGAACATAGCAGTGTTTAAGAGTCATGGAGAAACGGGGATTCGGACTCTCTCGTTCAGAAGTGATTGAATGTTTGAAAACAAGATTTAAAAATGGAATTTCAGGACCGGACTGGTTTATTGCATTTAAACAGAGATACCACCTTTCTCTAAAAAAAGCACAGATTGTCGAAATTGCCCGTCGAAGATGTATGGACCCATTCATTATCTATGATTACTTTGAAATTCTTAAAGGCATTCTTATAGAATTGAGGATTATGGATAAACCAGAGCATATATGAAACCAAGACGAAACGAGTTTTTGTACAGATCACTCAAAAACCAAAGTAGTGGGAGCAACTGGAGTGTACTCTAACCGAACTACCAATGACCCAGGTAGGGACAATACAACCGTTCTATGTGCTGCCAGTGCTACAGGACAAAAGGCAGTGCCTTTAATAGTGTTTAAAGGCAAAGATGTATACGATGAATGAACGGCTAATTTAATTTATTTTAATTTATTTTATTTTAATTTATTTTAATTTATTTTAATTTATTTTAATTTATTTTAATTTATTTTAATTTATTTTAATTTATTTTAATTTATTTTAATTTATTTTAATTTATTTTAATTTATTTTAATTTATTTTAATTTATTTTAATTTATTTTAATTTATTTTAATTTATTTTAATTTATTTTAATTTATTTTAATTTATTTTAATTTATTTTAATTTATTTTAATTTATTTTAATTTATTTTAATTTATTTTAATTTATTTTAATTTATTTTAATTTATTTTAATTTATTTTAATTTATTTTAATTTATTTTAATTTATTTTAATTTATTTTAATTTATTTTAATTTATTTTAATTTAATTTATTTTAATTTATTTTAATTTATTTTAATTTATTTTAATTTATTTTAATTTATTTTAATTTATTTTAATTTATTTTAATTTATTTTAATTTATTTTAATTTATTTTAATTTATTTTAATTTATTTTAATTTATTTTAATTTATTTTAATTTAAATTTATTTTAATTTATTTTAATTTATTTTAATTTATTTTAATTTATTTTAATTTATTTTAATTTATTTTAATTTATTTTAATTTATTTTAATTTATTTTAATTTGTTTTAATTTATTTTAATTTATTTTAATTTATTTTAATTTATTTAAATTATTTTAATTTATTTTAATTTATTTTAATTTATTTTAATTTATTTTAATTTATTTTAATTTATTTTAATTTATTTTAATTTATTTTAATTTATTTTAATTTATTTTAATTTATTTTAATTTATTTTAATTTATTTTAATTTATTTTAATTTATTTTAATTTATTTTAATTTATTTTAATTTATTTTAATTTATTTTAATTTATTTTAATTTATTTTAATTTATTTTAATTTATTTTAATTTATTTTAATTTATTTTAATTTATTTAAATTTATTAAATTTATTTTTATTAAATTTATTTTTATTTGCTTTTACTTTTATCTTTTTATTTATTTTTGTTTATTTTATTTATATATTTATTTTTATTTACTTATTTTAATTATTTTTTTATCTTTATTTATTTTTATTATTTTTAATCATTTTTATTTAGTTTTATTTTTTTTAATTTGTTTTTATTAAATTTTATTTATTTAATGGAACTTCAAATGGGGACTAAACTGTTGCTCAAAATTTACTTTACCATATAAAGTCGTATAATATATTGAAAATTTGTAAATTTAAATTGTCACAACTTAAAAAAAAACAAATGAAAAAATTATTTTCTTGAAAAGAAAGTTATAAGTTTATAAGTAAATAATAAAAAGAAAATAAAAAATCATTGAATTTCCAGCTCATATATATCTCCTCTTAACTTCTAACCACCCTAACTCTGTTAGTTTTAATAATTGCAAAAAATGCTAAATATAATTTTTGATGTAAAACTTAATGCTTTACAATTTTTATTAAGAACTTTTTTTTATAGCACCTACCGTTTTTAAACAACCTTAAAAAAACACTTTATTTTATTTATTTTTCTTTTTTTACCTATCGTTTTCAAATACTCTAAAGTGATTTATATCAAATTTTCCTGTATCCTCCAAAATTTTGATTTAAAGGTATATTTGATTGGACTACTATTTTGTGAATTATCTTTTTTCTCATTTAACTATCTGCCAAAATTATTAACTTTAGGTATAAGGAATGCTTAACTTAAATGGAAGTTTAATTAAGGTACTTTTGAATGGTGATATAAAAGACAGACTGTCCAATTTAAAAAATGTGAAAACTAGGTATTTGGGTTTTGATTCACATTGTACACATTTGTTTTGAATTAAAAAATGTAGTGCTTCGGCGTTAAATTTTGATTAATATCGAAAACCTTTTACTACAAAAACATTAGTTTTCAATTTATAGTATACTGGTCATTGAAATCAATACTATTTTCAAATAAAATTGGTTATAGTGTGTAAAATACTCTGTATAAACTCATACTATTTAGTATTATTATAAAGGGAAGAGCGAGGGCAATTCAAATATAAAACAAAATGTAGGGGGTCCCATTAAAAAAAAAACTAACTTTGATGTGTATCACTTTCTTAGAGAACCCTGTATAATTAAAATTATTTTTAAATTGTTGCCTTTTCTGATGTACTCTCACTGTAAAAACAGATTTAAAAAAATAATAATATAGTTTTGGCTCTACAGACCGAGGCGCTATCGGTGGCCCACACTGTATATTTAAATATCAATTTTAATAAAATGGTAATAATTAAAATATTTAATTCAAAATTGTTATGGTTGAATACGGAAATAATAGTCAGTAATTTAATGTATGAGGAATGTTGTTATATGTCATTGTCCCAAAGTTCGGAGAATATTTTGGAGGTTATGTTACAAGCTCTTTAGTGGCGGGTATATATTGCAATTGAAGACATAAGTGGATAAAGGTGTCATGTCACATTTTTTTAAACTTGTTTTTCTCTAAATAAATTTTTTGTTACATGACACCTTTATCCACTTATGTATTCAATTGCATATGCGGCACATCTGTGAGCATTTTTCATTATTATAATTCTTCATTCTTCATATTCCTGACATTAAATTACTGCCTATTATTTACGGATTCAACTAAAATAGTAAACAAAAAAAAACAAACAAGAACTTACTTTTGGCAAACATCATCATAAACATTCTTGAATTTAAGTGTCTTATCACTGTGCATTTTCCTTTTCATTACATAGAAAAACATTTGCTTCTTCTGTTCAGACTCATCGGGGCATTTATGATTATGAGGTGTTAATACTGTTACTTCATTACTATATTCATATTTTTCTAATCTACTTTGCACTGCTGTAGCCGAACAAGATGGTAGTAAACATCTCATATTCCTAAAAATAAGACATACTAGTAAAGTAGAAAAACTGTTACTTCATTACTACATTCATATGTTTCTAATCTACTTTGAACTGCTGTATTCGAACAAGATGGCAGTAAACATGTCATATTCCTAAAAATAAGACATTCTAGAAAAGTAGAAAATTCCTCTAATATATAGTGAATAATATATTCTTTGTTTAAAAAAAAGTGTAATAAAAAGAAAATTTAAACCAATTATTTATTTACTTACCTCTGAGTCTGTTTAGCAATCCTGTACTCAAATAAATAATCATCAACTTCACAGAACTGGACATCATAAAAATAAGTTATGGGTGTTCCTTCAAATACTCCAATATTAGACTTAAATCCCTTTCCACTATTTACATTAGCTTCCTTAGAACGAATATTTTCAGGTTTATCCAAAGAATAATCTTCATGCAGCACTGCCCGCTTTGATTTGGTAGTTTTTTGAGAATCGCCTATACCTACTGGAAGATCAATATTTGATAAAGTTTCCTCAGTATCATCTGCACTATAATCATCGTCGTCATCATCATTCTCAATATGTATTATAATATTATCAGCACTAGCATGCTCTTCAGACAATGATCCTTCTAAAACTTTCCGAAGTTCTTCTTCCATTCTATTCATAGATTCATTTTGAGAATTATTGTTCTGGGATATTTTGTCATCATGCATATTTTTGGTATCTTCGGTCTTGATCATTTCCTTTCCGTCTTTTTTAACTAAAAATTCATTTATAGCTTCTAGTTCATCATACTTATCTTCATGGTCAGCAGATTTTGTTTTCTTTTTAACTTGCTCTGTTGTTTCTTCGCCCTTCCGTTTTTGCTTTTTTATAATTGGGGAAGCTTGAGTCCTTAAGGATTGTTTTTGGATTTTATCATTTTTTAAACAAACTGATCTAAACTTAAAACACACCTGAAGTATGTTCAAACAATCTATACATATATTTTTTGATAAATTGTCTTCATATGAAATCTAAAAACAGTTTCATATCAGCAAAGGGTTAAAGCAAAACCTAACTAAAATATAATTAATTTGGTTCATTAAAATGTAAATTAATAAAACACAATAAATTTCATTCATAAGAATTATTACTTTCAGTAAAAAGAATTTTGTTAAAAAGGTAAAAGTATTGAAAGTAGATGAAATAAATATGTAAATACCTCAATTGGATGAATACAGGCTAGGATTGCAAATACAATGGGTATACTATCTTCAATTTCTTCAACAAATATATTTTTAGTATCTTCCTTTTGCTCCATACATAATCTGCATATTTCTAAAAGAAATTACTTAATATGCAAAACATATTTATGTATACTATTCTACTGAGCTATATAAAGTTAGCACAACAATTTCAGCACAATCTGTGCGAGTCTTATCTATATTTTTTTTGCAATTTTCGTGCACTATTCACCATATTTGTGCTTTTATATATTTTTAACCTAGTTTAAAGACAACATGCCACAAATCTATTATTTATCAACCGATTTTGATGAAACTAACACCATAATTATCTGAAAAAAAATATTAGTTTGATTGGAAAAACTGAATGGAAAACAAATATTTTGAATTCAATGTACACATTACACAAAATTAATTTATGTATAAATATTTCAAAACAATTGTGTTCCTATTGGGCCTCCAATTTCTTAAATTCAACCATTCTTTTTTCTCAGCATAGCATATGTTATCCGCATGAAATCCAAAGCCTTGAAGGTTAATAAAATATAAACAAAATCCTAATAGAGGGCAATTATTAGTTGATTTTTTAAAACTTATATCTACATTTTTCATTGATATAACTATTGAACAAGACCTATCATTTATCGTCAATTATCATTACAGACTGGCTTTTCTATTTGTTTAGTAATTTTTTATGAACAATTTGATAATCCATAAAAAAATAACAAATTGCATAAATAAAATAAATATTGCTATTAAATAAATTAATTTCTTATTAAAGTTTTCAATGTGTTCTATTCGCTCCGTGCGAAGTCATGGAAAGGGAAGTAAAAGCGATACTAGCGCTAGCTGCGGATAATTCGTGCATTTTAGGGCGATATTTTGTAATTTTGGCATATCAAATACACGTATACATTTTTCTTTTTTTCAAAAAAGTAGGTGAAAACAATACAGTAAGCAACCGGAGTTGCTGTGTTGAAAATTGTACAAATACTAGCAAAAAAAAAACAGTGAAACTTATATAAAAAATTTTAGTAGCAAAGTAGAAATTAAATCAAAGAAATAAATGGATAGGTGTACAATAAGAAGAAAAATTACCTTTATTTTTGTAATAATAACAGTAATGCTGGAAATAATAGACATCAGAAACTTGAAAGGTTTTAAATAAACAATAAATTATCATTTTACGATGTTCTTTAATATCCCTTTATTCTTAAATGTTCATTCAGCAAGGACTAGATTTCAAGATTTCTGCATTTGATTATTATTATATGTGGCTGGAATACAATTTTGTAACTTACTGATGGGAAACCAGTTTTAATCATTCATTCTATGTTCTGTTTTCAACAAAAATGAAAATATAAATAACGATCCTTTTTTTATACATTTTAACTTCACGCTATTATTTTTTATTTTGACAGAATAATTCTTCAATGACAACTTATTAGACTTAGGCAACTTCTTATACATTTTCCAGTAAATACTGTTGCCTGCCTATATTTTATTATTCATTTTTATTGATTATACATAATTTTCTTTAATTTAAGAGATAAAAATATATAATAATAATAAATTAATGTTTTGCTTGTTTTACAAATCCATATACTTTTATTAAAACTAACATATATACTTTTTAATTACGAATTTATTAAAAATTGCATTTGTCAGTATACGCAGAAATAGTCCATTAATACCAAAAAGGAATTGGCGCTGCTGTCGCGCACGGAGCGAATACTGTTTTTCTGAAATATATGCTATTCAAAATTTACAACAATTTCTTAGTATTTATGTAATGTTTCAATAACAAAATTAAAATTGTCCTAACATATAATGCACAATAAAACTATGGTGATAATTTTATTGACATCAATCATGTTATTTAAGTCGGCACAATATTTAATTAGGAAAGAAATATTTGATCAAATTGATTGTTTATTTCACATAATTTGTACAAAAAATGCTTTTAATTAAAAATATAGATGACACACAAAAATTGATTTATTTATTGTATTTTATTTTGTTTAAAATATTTATATGTAATAAATATTGTATATTCTTGGAAGAAAAAAATAGTGTTTTTAAGTTTTGTACCTACATTCCACTCAACTGCATACTCTTATTCCAAATCCAATAGGTTTTAAAGTTTAAACCATTATAAAGTTTATTGCACGCCATATAGGTTAGTATTTCATGATTTATTTTTTATATTTAACTTACACAAAATTAGTATTTAATGTTAAGTAATAATCTTTTTCGCACAAAAATCGAAGAGTTATGATTTTATTTTTAATAAGATACGCCACTGGTATCGACAGACTTTAAGTTGCGTGTAACAGAAGTGTTGCCAGACGAGATCTAGAAATACAGTCTGTGTTCTTTCAATCCGTATAAAATATCTTGTTTCTCTTTTACAATAATTGGGACCAAACAAATGATACGTTATGAATGAAATGCTTCATCTGTTGTTTCTTTTATCTAAGATCAGGTCTTTTAGAAACACCTCGTATATGTTATTAACAATATAAAATTAACCATGATTTTTTATATGTACTGTATTTATTATACCTTAATATTTAGAACTGTCTACACTAAAAGTTAAATTATCTGGCCCATACTAGCTATGGTCTTCACTGGACCATTCAAATTCATATATTTTTCTTTTCCTAATAAACAATTATTATTAGATGTAAAATCAACACGTACAGTTTATCTGGTTGGCAAGTAGGTACAGGTTTTATAGCGCCTAAGTTTTTTAAGATAAATGGTTAGAATTTCCAATTTTACTATTTTTTCCAAGACATTCGACAGTATCAATCCTGTAATTCTATGTAATAAACTATGGGCAGTTGGAATCCATGGAAAATTGTTGGAATGTTGTCATCATATTTAACAATTAGGTGACAAGTAGTAAACATTAATGCCAGAGTGTCTAAACAAATTCAAGTCTCCTTTAGTGTACATTAAGGAGGCCCTTTGTTATTTAATATATTTAACAATGATATTGCCAAAGTATTTGTTAATTGTACATTTTTACTACTGGCAGTAGTGATGGTAAATACCCAGGTATTTAAAAAGTTGAGTAAATACCCGGGTAAATACCCAAAAGTCATAAATACCCGGATATTTATAAAAACCATTCATTTTAATTTTTTACGTTTTTTTGTAAGTAAGTACCTATATTTAAAAAGCACATTGGCATAGTTGAATTGCTTAATAAAACCTTTTAAAAAAAGTTTTGCTTTTATTTAGGTGAAAACTTTCATTTAACTAGCAAGTGTTAAGTTTGGCAAGTTGAAACTTAATCTGTTTATTATTATCCCAATTGTACTCCATAAATTATACCTTTAGCCAATGGCCTTAAGACATGTAAGAAATAATACTCACATTAATCTAAAAAACTATAAACCATAAAGAGAGAGAAAGATAGAGAAAGATAGAGAAAATTTGAAGACTGTGTCACAGAAATATGAGCGACCATTTCCTTCTGAAAACATCTACTCCTTTGGCTAATACCGCAACAGACATTTCATTATATCAAAAGATTAATAGCAGAGAGAAAATAATTTTTAACACTCTAACTTTGATTTTGCTTCGTAAGAAGAAAATCATGTTTGACCCGGTTTTGTCCTTATTAGGACTCTTCAGCAAGAAATAATTGACTTCGACTCTAGTATCTAATGGAGTCTGATGGCACTATAAAAAACGCTCATACACATTAACACCGGTTGGGAGTGTGTTGATATTAAATGAGCAAAAATGGTAATGCCATCTGCACTTAGGAAGAAAAATAAAAGCTAGCTGTGGTACCTAGTTCTCTAGCTCTAGAACAAGGCGGAATAATAACCAGATGGGCATTACTAAAGGAAATAAATTCCAATTCTCAGATGTGTTCAAATCAAAAATAAACCATTAAAGAAAAATACTTCTGCGTTCTAGGAAAACCAGACCACAGACATATAAAAGGAACCAATAATGAGCTGAGTTCATTATTCCCTCATTTTGGGTATTGGCACCTTGGGTAAATACCCATTTTTATTTCCCCTACCCACTGAGTATTTACATGGCCCACATCACTAACTGGTAGATGACCTTAGACTCTATTCTACTGTTAGCGATCTCCAAGATTTTAGTAAAGATTCTAAATGATCTTGATAAATTACATGATTGGGTGTCAGGTCAATCAGTTAGCTCTTAATATCAACAGGTGTAATTACCTGGTGTTTTCTAGACTTGAAACCACTCAAGCTGTATATCCACATTTATATATTGCAGAGATATCTTTAGAAAAATTAGGGTATCTTGGAGTAATTGTTGACAGTAGGAAGGACTTTTGGAAGCATTATGAATATATTCAAAATAGAGGATTTAAGAGGATATGATTTATTTGTAAGAATACAAATGAATTTACCAACTTGAATGCCATAAAATATTTGTAGCTCACCCTAGTTTACCCAATCCTTGAATATGCACCAGTTGTTTGGTGTCCAATATATCAAAACCATAAAACGGAATTAGAAAGAGTGCAAAATTGATTTTTGAAATATATTTCTTCTAAATTACATATTCTATGAGAATATTTCTCAGTTACAAATATAAGACATTATGCAAATTCAAGAATTGGATAAACGAAGATATGCAATTGATGTACTGTTCTTATATAAGACCCTTAATAATTTCATCAAATATCCTGAATTATTACATATGAGTTCAGAGATGATTTCTTTTCGAGTACTAAGTACCCAGTAATTTCAAAAACACATAATTATGTGCCATTCTTTTTCTTAGAACTATTTATGTAAAAGTATGGCCAATTTTCCATTTAATGACAGTGGAAAAAACAATTCTGTTGATTTCTTTAATACATTCCTAGGTATATTCTTTTCAATTTAAATTGCATTCTGCATAAATAATACTACTATTATATCTTACTACATTTTTTTATAACTTAAATTATATCCATTGTAAAAACTTCAAATGTATATTTCCCATGTATAATTATAAATAAACAATGTTTAAACATTTTTCAAAATATATTAAAAACATGTATCCTAAAGTCGGGCAACTTTGACCAGGATGGGTGACTAACTCAAATCAGTAAATAGTTATTTTTGTTCACAAAAAAGTATATGTCCTATTTTTAAAATAAAACTCACACTGGTTGAACTGTAAGGTATTAAAACTAACCAAAACACTTTATTTAAAGGTAGGATGGGACACTTACACTTTCTGTAGTATAAAAAATTTAACTAATTGCAAAGTAATATAAATTGAAAGTTTATAAAATTTGTATGCAACCAACAATACTGTTGTTTGTAATATTTTTTATTATCTTTACCTTAAGCAATAAAAAATATTTTACTTGCAATGAGTCAAAGTCACCGGACTTTATGGTACTCAATTTTTACAATTTCTTTCTATCCCTGAGTAACAATTTACTTAAATTTGAAAAGTAGAAACTACTTTTGTCAACAATTATTAACATTGATTTTTACTACTTATAATACTGTGAGAAAACTGCTTTTTCAATAAAATGCATGTGTAAGTTACTATTTTTCACTAGGTTTTTCGATTTTCGATATAAAATATTGTTTTAAATAAGTATATCTAAACAATTTATCTGCAAAACTTAGTTGTAATTGTTGTGAAGAATATAAAACTTGCACTTAGCTGCAAATCTAAAATATGCAAGTATCTTTAATATTTTATACAATAACCAGGGATTGTAAGTAGGATGTTTAATTTCCGAGATTAACAGTGAAATCGCTAAACAAATCACAAGTTTATGTGGTTACCTGTATGTTCAGAAGACACATTTTCCTGAGACTGATCTGGATCATCTGCTTCTTCATCTCCATGACTTTCAGGTTTTTCAGTTTCTATGCTTCCAATCTTTACAATTTTTCCTTCAATTACAATTTGATCTGGATTTGTTTTAGTAGTAACTTGCTTTAAATTGCTACTGATCTTTCCAGATTCTAAAACATAAACATTACTGAATTATTTTTTTAAATTTGAATAAAAAATAACTTACCAGTATTTGGTATTTCATCTAAATCTTCATCGTCTTGAAAATGGTCTAGACAAACAAAGCTTGACGGTTTGGGCTGTAAATGTGGAATACCTAGAATGTCTAACCATTTTTCTTTAATTTCTGGATCTTCAGGAAAAGCTATTCCTACATTATTTTTACAACTTGGTACAAAACATTTCGAACTCATGTTTTATTTCACGAAGCTTTTTTCATTCGGATTTTTATATATTGACGGGTAGTCATTCCGGCATTATAACCAATGGGAAAATTTGGACAGTTGAATTTAATTTATTCAATGGAATTAAACATCGCTTCACTTGGTTGAAAAAATGACGTAAGTATCGTTTCTAATATAATTTATAACCAATCGAAAACGACCATTTATTACGCAAGGGAAAGAATCAGTTTTGCCACCCAATAAAATTAAACTGTGTCGTTTTGCACTTTTCGACTGTTTTTTTTTACGAAACAGTAACAAGACACACATCTCAAATGAGTAATAAATAATGAAGTAATTGAATTAAAATACAAATAGAGCATTTATTTTATTTCAGGCAATATTTATTATCAATGTTGAAGTGTCGTTTTACTTATACTACCAGCAATACGTAGAAGGGCTTTGCGGATTGCCTATACCTTTACAATAAAGCGGCTTTTAGTTCATTAAAATATAAAATGAATATTGAAAATAAAAAAAAATGCACAATATTTTTATTGTATTTTCAAGGAAATTCTGCAAAAATTACAATAATCCATCTGACAAACAGAGAAAATGCACGTAATTAATTGTTGGACAAGAGGTTGCCTTAGCAACGCGTTAAATATTTCAAATCAAAACAAATAAATACATTTTTTACAAATTTAGTTTCTAAAACAAAAGTTTCTACATTTATTACAATATTGTAAAAATGACATTGTATTTTGAAACACCCGTTGTGTTTCCAGAATCTGGATCGATTTCAGTAAATAGTGTTTGGCATTCCAATACTCCCCTTTTAGCTGTAGCAAGTTTCTCACAAGATCGTGGAGGGTTCGTTATAATATTTGACGAATTAGTAAGTATACCTAGCTTCGCATTTTTCTTCTGGAAGGAACATTACATATCAATGAGCGACGTTGATTATTAAAATGACACCTTAAATAGAAACATTTTTTTATGAAACCATAACTAGCCAGTCAATATTAAGCATTCATACCTATATCATAAGTACCTATTCATGGAAATAAAAAAAATAAATATGCCTCTAAACTCTCACGAGTTTTTCATTTATAACATTAGTTTATCAATTTTACCAAAACACTATTTCGAAGTAAAACCAAAATTAACATTAAGATGCAACTTTTTTTAGGGGGAATCACTAAGGAACGTAAACTATCCAGTTCATAGAAGCTTTCAAGTAACAGCTCTTGCTTGGCACCCGGATAAAATAATTTTAGTAACTGGATGGGAGAATGGAGAGCTAAAAATTTGGAATGGATCGGACAAAGAATTTTCTAATGTGGTCGGACCTCACAAAGCTCCGATTACTTTTTTAGGATTTAGTGAAAAGGGAAGCCGTATGGTTTCTTGTGATTCGGTATGTATTTGGTTCTGTCATTTCTAGTATATTAAATTAGGTACTGACTGTCGACGCATATAGGTTCGGATCCAAGCTTTGCTTATGGGGTTAAAAACTCACTTGTAAGGGGGTGAAGCAGGGAGAGTATTATTATTATTATTATTATATCCAGTAAACATTGAAGTGCTTAAATCATATAATTAAGGTGACTTCCCCCATCGCCTTCCATTGAGAGCCAGCAGGGCCGCCAAGAGCCAGACCGGGCCCTAGGACAATTATCCAGATCGGGCCCCGCCAGTTTTATAAAAAAATAAAAAAAAAGGTCTTCAAGCAAGAAAATTCTCCTCCTCTGCTTGAATTTCTCTAAAAAAAAGGTCTTCAAGCAAACATTTCTCCTCCTCTATTTGACATTCTCTAATTCTCTAAAAAACAAAAAAAATGGTCTTCAACCAAGAACTTCCTCCCTCTTGTGTCGAACTTCTGAAAGTAACAAAAAAATTCTCACCACCGCTGCCGGGCCCCCGTTTGAGCCCGGGCCCCGGGAATTAGTCCCGGCTGCCCCCGCCCCCCACCCCCTCTAGTCGGCCCTGAAAGCCAGTTGGAACTATCGTAACTAAAGGTGCGTTGACACCGTGCTAGTGGACTCTGCCGAGACTGCTTGATGCGAGCGAACTCGAGCACGAGTTCTGTTGACACACACAATTTTACCAGCTTGGTTTTAGTAAAATGCAAAATGGCGGAAATTGTGCGTGCTGGTATAGCTATTATTGCACAGATACTAATCAACGAATTAAACCAATTGCAAGTTATAAAAAAGCGACGTCCCAGACGAATGTGGATTCGGGAGTGGATAAAGCGGCTTAACAAGTTTGGTGCTTCTGAAACGTTTCTAAGAGAAGTGGCTTTAGAGGATCCAGAGACATTCATAAATCATCTAAGGTTAACGATAAATCAGTTTGAAGAACTATTGTCAATGGTTAGGGTTGCCAGACGTCCCGCTTTTGGCGTGGTAGCCACGCTTTTTGACTTGCCTGCACGCTTTTTATGCAAATTCCACGCTTTATACACGGATTTATACAAAAATAGACCGGGTAAAAGACCCTCGTTTGTACGATAAATAATTTGAGGAACTTTTTTTTTATATAAAAATGCTCTACTCGTTTTAGGAAAAATAAGCTAAGGACCTTTTTTTTTCTAGAAGTGTTCACAAAAAATGGATTATATAAAAATGCTCTATCGTCACGGTTGCCACGCTTTTCACTTCCCTTCCGGAAATGTGGCAACCCTATCAATGGTGGAAAACTCCATTAAAAAGCAAGATACGTTAATGAGAGCTGCTTTGGAGCCCAGAATAAAATTGCAAATTACACTGGGTTACTTGACGACTGGAGATTCATTCAGGACAGTAAATTCATTTGGAAAATCAAATTTCTTGAGGCTGTGCCTCTTGTTTCTTTATTTTTATAGGGAGCATGTCGAAAATTCTAGACATTCTGCTTCTTCATATAATTCCACAAATTTTATAGTTTGCGCTTCTGTCCATCTTTTGTTTGCCATGTTTACAAGTACTAGCATGGAACTCGCACGCTGAAAGTTGGAAGACTACCGACTATAACTCGTACGACAAAAAACAACTTGCGAGTGTACTCGGCTGTCTGTTTATACAGTACGAGTTTCATGCGAATACCAACCGAGCAGGCATCCTAGTCGGCTCGGCCGAGCACACTAGCACCGTCGTGTCATCGCACCATAAGTGACTTCCCACCACAGATTACATCTTCCCACATATGCAAGACCGGTTTTACGATAAATAATTTGAGGAACTTTTTTTTTATATAAAAATGCTCTACTCGTTTTAGGAAAAATAAGCTAAGGTCCTTTTTTTTTTTTCTAGAAGTTTCTAGAAGTGTTCACAAAAAATGGATTACATAAAAATGCTCTATCGTCACGGTTGCCACGCTTTTCACTTCCCTTCCGGAAATGTGGCAACCCTATCAATGGTGGAAAACTCCATTAAAAAGCAAGATACGTTAATGAGAGCTGCTTTGGAGCCCAGAATAAAATTGCAAATTACACTGGGTTACTTGGCGACTGGAGATTCATTCAGGACAGTAAATTCATTTGGAAAATCAAATTTCTTGAGGCTGTGCCTCTTGTTTCTTTATTTTTATAGAGAGCATGTCGAAAATTCCAGACATTCTGCTTCTTCATATAATTCCACAAATTTTATAGTTTGCGCTTCTGTCCATCTTTTGTTTGCCATGTTTACAAGTACTAGCATGGAACTCGCACGCTGAAAGTTGGAAGACTACCGACTATAACTCGTACGACAAAAAACAACTTGCGAGTGTACTCGGCTGTCTGTTTATACAGTACGAGTTTCATGCGAGTACCAACCGAGCAGGCATCCTAGTCGGCTCGGCCGAGCACACTAGCACCGTGTCATCGCACCATAAGTGACTTCCCACCACAGATTACATCTTCCCACATATGCAAGACCGGTTTTACGAATACTAAGAGCCGATATTCCCCCTTCGTTAGGATAAAAGACTGTCGTGTTTTTGTATATTCTTGCTAGATCGATGGACTTCGTAGCTACCAACTCGCGACAAAAAATACTTAAATAAGAGTCTAAAATGTAATTTTCTTAATCCATAAAATAATACTTTAATAAAATATTTAGTATTGTATTTAAAATTTAAAGTCTATATTGGAGATTATTGGTGATAAACTTACGTTAGGAGCTCCAAGTCATAATGATCCGATTTTGATAGTGATGCTCTTGTGTTATCTTACCAAGTCTCGCCATGGCTTAACTGTTTGCGCTCTGATCTTAGACGATTACCTGTAAAATGTCAGAATGTGTGGTTGGCTTCTTGAGTGATCTCCTATTGATTTGATTTCATCGCTAGTTCCATTCTCTTTTGAACTTGGCTGCACCGTACTGATGAAGACCAATAGTCAGAAACACGTGTCTACGGTTTTCCTTTAGGCATTTTTTTTTCATTTTTTGCGGTATTTGCCCAATAATCCTTTTATCTTTTATATATAAATATTCTTTTAAATCATCTATATTCCCTAACAAGAGAATTGCATCGTTGGTTTAGTCCAGCCATGTCAAACTCAAAATCACTGGTGGGCCAAAAGCACGAAGGCCGTAAACTAAGTGGGCCACAAAACCTAATCTTAAAGAACTTAAACTATTGAAAATATTAAGGAAAAAAGCACTATTATAGAACAATTAGTATCTTTATTAAACGTTCAATAAAAAAGACATTACAAAAAAGTACAAATACTAACTTCTTTTGCCAGATATTTGACATTTTTTCTCTTTAGTTAAGTTGTCTATTTGTGGTGAGATCGATTTGCTTTCATATGGATTGTGATTTCTCGACAGTTCTTTCTCGCAACTCCCGCGTTTTTAAAAACGGTTTTTAACACACTCGCGGGCCACAATATCTGCCATTTTTAACCGACTTCAAAAAAGGAGGAGGTTCTCAATTCGTCGTAATATATTTTTGTCCATTAGAAAATTCTCAAACTCTTCATTTTTAGTGTATGTTTGGCGCTAATTCTTTACCACCTCGTCCAATTTCTATGATTCTATGATTGTTGGTAAGTAAGGGGGTACCTCAGGGGCGGTCCCATAAAAATTTGGTTAAGATGTGGTGACGGTATCTGCACGATTTTGAAGTCACTTTTTTAAAATTACTTTTAATGCTTGTTTAAAATTGATTCGGACTGCAGGAAAAT